CGCACGCCGAAATCTCCAAAAACCATTGGGTTCTGTGGGTGTGTACCCCACGCCAGTGTAGTAGCCACGGTCGTCCGCACGCCACGAAGTGAAGTGTCCCAACGTCATAGGGCGGGAAGCTGGGTTTGGGTGGTCGCGAAGAGTCGTTTGGATATTTGGTAGAGCTTGTAATGCCCCCCCACGAAGTGGGGGTATTGCCTGGTGTCGTATGAAAACCCGGGCACTGGGGAGAACACCACGCGTTCGGGTAAAATGATTGTTGCTGTTGTTGTTGTTGTTGTTGTTGTTGTTGTTGTTGTTGTTGTTGCTGCTGCTGCTGCTGTTGTTGTTGTTGTTGTTGGTTGTTGGTTGTTGGTTGTTGTTGTTGTTGCTGCTGCTGCTGCTGCTGCTGCTTCTGTTGTTGTTGTTGTTGTGGTTGTTGCTGCTGCTGCTGTTGTTGTTGTTGTTGTTGTTGGTTGTTGGTTGTTGTTGTTGTTGTTGTTGCTGCTGCTGCTGCTGCTGCTGCTGTTGTTGTTGTTGTTGTTGTTGCTGCTGTTGTTGTTGTTGCTGCTGTTGTTGTAGTTGTAGTTGTTGTTGTGGTTGTGGTTGTAGTTGTGGTTGTGATTGTTGTTGTCGTGGTTGTTGTTTTAGTGGTTGCTGTTTTGGTTGTTGTTTTTCTTGGTGTTAATGTTGCTGTTCTTACTATCGTTGATATTGTATTTGTTGTTGGTGGCATTTTTGCTGTTGTTGTCAGTATTGTTGTTGTTGTTGTTGTTGTTGTTTTTGTTGCTTTTGTTTGAGCTTTTGTTGTGGTGGTTGTGACGGTTGTTGTTGTGGTTGTTGTTGTAGGTGTTGCTGTTGTTGCTGCTGCTGCTGTTATTGTTGTTGATGCTGTTTTTGTTGCTGTTGTGGTTGTTGTTGTTGTTGTGGTTGCTGCTGCTGCTGTTGTTGTTGTTGTTGTTGTTGTTGTTGTTGTTGTTATTGTTGTTGTTGTTGTGGTTGTCGTTTTTTTGTTGAGGTGATTGTTGCTGTTGTTGCTGCTGCTGCTATTGTTGTTGTGGTTGTTGTTGTTGTTGTTGTTGCTGCTGCTGCTGCTGTTGTTGTTGTTGTTGTTGTGGTTGTTGTATGGTTTTCTGTCACCCCCTTCCCAGCGAGTTTGGGTCTTTCCCCTGGACCAGCTTTTACTCCCGAGCCTTTCTTGAGGGCCCCCGCGGATGACGTGAGCGGCCACGGCAGCACCGCGCTGGCCGCTGGCCGCAGCGACGACTCGCGCGTCATTCGCTCGTCCGTTCCCGAGCTTTTTCCTGGACAGCCTTGGGCCTGGTGGGGGCTCCCCGGAGGCCGAAGACTGCCCAGAGCCGTCCGTCGCATGTTTCTCTTCACGTCGCGGGGATGCCAGGCCTTCTCTGCTGTGGTGGAGCAGGTTGGCTCAACCGAGATCCGACGTCGCGAGCAAGACTGCAACATCGTGGCCGAGACCCTATCTTTCTTCGGCCACGCGCAGCGGGGGGCAGGGGAGTCTTGGAAGGCGCGGGCCTTGGCTGTAGATCTAGCGCCGGCAAGTTCTAAGAAGGAGTCTCCTTCTACGAAGCCTTCCCAACTCCCCCTCCCCCCTGTGTGCGCGCCGCCGAATCTCTCTGCTGCACTTTCCGAGCCAGATCGATCTGTCACGGTCCAGGGGCACCCCCAGCGCGGAAGGGGTGGGGAGGTGGAGGAGGACGCGGCGATGGGGGGAGGAGGAAGGGGAGGAGGAGGAGAAGGAGGAGGAGGAGGAGGAGGAGGAGGAGGAGGAGGAGGAGGAGGAGGAGGAGGAGAGGAGGCGGAGGCGGAGGCGGAGGCGGAGGCGGAGGCGGAGGCGGAGGCGGAGGCGGAGCGGAGCGGAGGCGGAGGCGGAGGCGGAGGCGGGCGGAGGCGCAGGCGGAGGAGGAGGAGGAGGAGGGGAGGAGGAGGAGGAGGAGGAAGAGGAGGAGGAGGAGGAGGAGGAGGAGGGGGAGGGGGGGGGAGGGGAGGGAGGAGGAGGAGGAGGAGGAGGAGGAGAGGAGGAGGAGGAGGAGGAGGAGGAGGAGGAGGAGGAGGAGGAGGCGGAGGCGGAGGCGCGAGGCGGAGGCGGGGGCGGAGGCGGAGGAGGAGGAGGAGGAGGAGGAGGAGGAGGAGCAGGAGGAGGAAGAGGGAGGAGGAGGAGGAGGAGGAGGAGGAGGAGGAGGAGGAGGAGGAGGAGGAGGAGGACGAGGAGGAGGAGGGAGAGGAGGAGGAGGAGGAGGAGCAGGAGAGGCAGGAGCAGGAGAGAGGAGGGGGAGGGGGGAGGAGGAGGAGAGAGGAGGAGGAGGCGGGAGGAGGAGGAGGAGGAGGAGGAGGAGGAGGAGGAGGAGGAGGAGGAGAGTGAGGAGGAAGATGAGGATGAGGAGGAGGGAGGAGGAGAGAGGAGAAAGAGGAGGGAGTGGGAGGAGGAGGAGGAGGAGGAGGAGGAGGAGGAGAGGAGGAGGAGGAGGAGAGGAGGAGGGAGGAGGAGGAGGAGGAGGAGGAGGAGGAGTTGGAGGAGGAGGGGACGGACGGAGGGAGGTACGGACGGTTGGAGAGAAGGCGGTGAGGGCGGCACGGTGGGAGTGGTGGGGGGGAGGGAGGGAGGCACCCGTTTATGCGGTAAACAGATTCGGGCGAGCTGGCCAGAAGGCTTTCCGAAGCGCACCCACAGCTCAAGCCGACGCCAAAGCTGAAGTCCAGAGACATGGAAATGGCCCATCTGGCAGGGTCTGTGAACAGCACATCGTTGAGCGGTGCTGCAGCCTCCCCACAGCATAGGCCCCCTTGGAGCAGCAACCACACAAGTCGGGCTTGCACCCTCATGTCTTGTTGACCTCTGGGCGTGTTTAGGTTCTGCCACTGCCGCCGCCGCGCCCCTTGTCAGGATCACCGACTCGGGTGACGGCCACAGCGGGAGGGCTGGTGGCCGATGCTTCCAAGCCTGGTGTCGTGCAACGCAAGGCTGCGAGGATTTGTGCGTCTCCTGAGCGGGCGGGGGAGAAAAAGCAGCACCAGCAGCAGGGATGGGAGGCACAGTTGATGGGGGGATTCAGTTACACCGACGCAGTGCGCGGTAAGCGAGAAAGGCACTTCCGTGCGAGCGGGAAGTTGATGCGTGCGAGCTGGTCCGAGAAGGCGCTGCGATGTGCACCCGCAGCGGATGCCGAAGCTCACGGGCGGCGAGCATATCCGTATTCGCGCCCTCGCGGTCTGCATTCTGGGGCGCGATCCCGCGGATATGTGGTCGGACGCCTCCTCCTCCTCCTCCTCCTCCCCCGCCTCGGACATGTGGTCGCAGGGATATGATCCTCGCGGAGCTTCCGCGAAAAACGCCGCGCATTCGCGGGGTCGCGGCCCAGGGACCCAGCCCGCGAGGCCGCGGATGCGGATAGATTTCACGCCCGCGAGAAGCCAGAGGTACGGTGCACATAATGGAAAGAGCCCGCCGTGCAGGTTCGATGAACAGCACATCGTTGATCGGTACGTGCAGCGTCCACTGAGCACAGCCCCCTCCCCTCGGATCAGCAGCCAGACAAGTCGAGTTTGCACCGTCATGCCTTGCTGAACTCGGGGCGCTTTTCGGCACTGGCACTGCCGCCGCCCCCCCCGTCAGACCCACAGGTGTGGGCGATGGCAGCAGCGACAGTGGCGGTGGCCTACGTTTCGCAGTCTGGCGGCGTGCGGAGCCAGGCTACGAGGAGTTCGATATCTCTGAGCGGATGGGGTGTAGCAACAGCAGCACCAGGCAGGGGCAACAAGACCGACGGGGAGCACACGGCAAACCGACGCAGAAACGACAAAGGCGGGATGCACCCGTGCATGGGGGAAGTCGGCTCGGGTGAGCTGGCCCGCAGGCGGTTCGAAATGCACCCACAAGTGAAGCGGAATACAAAACCGAAGTGCGCACAGCTGGACAGGGGCCACCTGGCAGGCTTGGCAAGCAGCACATCGCTGAACGGTGCTGCGGCCTGCCCTGAGCACTTGGGCCTTGATGAACCCTCGGCGCGCTTCCGTGCTGCCACTTCCGCCGCCGCCCCCCTCGTCAGCAGCGACGGCGGCGGTGGTTGAGGGGAGGGGAGGGGAGGGGAGGGAGGGGAGAGAGGGGAGGGATATGGGCTTGAGTTTGGAGGGAATGGAGGGATGTGGGCTTGAGGTTGGAGGGGAGGGGAGGGAGGGGAGGGAGGGGAGGGGATGGAGGGGAGTGGGAGGGAGGGGGGGGGGAGGGGAGGACGGAAGGGAGGGAGGGAGGGGGAGGGGGGAGGGAGGGGAGGGGAGGGGAGGGAGGAATGTGGGCTTGAGGTTGGAGGGGGTGATCGAGGAACGACGCGCCAATTTTCGGAGGTCCGCGGTGCCCTCGTGGATCGGCGCTGGGCCCCCGGGGGGGGGGGGGGGTAGCGGGCGGGAGGCTCGGACGGGAGGCAGAGCAGGCGGGAGGGGAAAAACACAAACGCTCGGTGGGGGAGAGGCGAAAGTCTCAGGGAAGTAGGAGCAAAGATGGGGAATCCTGGGATCTGTGTGCATTTACTCGTGTGCGTCCTTGGGCTCTGTGTGCACTCCCCAGGAAAATATAGGAAAACATGGGAAGTGCGGGGAAATCAAGGGAAGTATGAGCAAAGATGGGGAATCCTGGGATATGTGCATTTTTTGTTTTGTGTGTGTGTGTGTGTGTGTGTATGTGTGCGCCCTTCCAGCGCTCTGCGAGCGCTTCGTGCCGCTCTTTGGAGCGATCACGCCCAGCCCTGGGATCGCCTGACGACAGCCTCTTGCTTCTGAGCCTCTTATCCTCCCCCGAGATCCGACCTTGCCAGCACGACTGCGGCGCTGCCAGCAGAAATCACAGCCGGAGCCCTGGACCCCATCTTCCCGCAGATCCCGTGCGAGCCTCCTCGATCCGTGTCCCTGGGCCCCCCTCCGAGCAGGCGGGAGCCGCAGCGGCGCCCGCCGCTCCCGCCCGCGCCGAGGGGCGCGCCCGAGGCCGCGCCCGATACCGCCCCCCGCAGGCGACGGCCGCCGCGGCCGGCACGCGCTTCTCCGCGGAGCTCGTCTCCTCGCTGTTCCTGTCGGGCCCCGCGGGCCGGGCGGCCCTTCCCTCGGTTCAAGGGGCAAGGATAGGCCCTGAGGTCCTGGCGGCCCAATTTTTTAGAGCCGGGCGTTGTTGTCTTTTTTCGGGTGCTGGGGCCCTCACAGATCGATCCGGCTCGAAAAATGACGCAGAAAGATGGGGTCTGGGGCTCCGGGCGCGGATTTTCACGATGTTGCAATTTCGTCGCTTCGTCGGATCTCAGGGGGGGGAGAGGCGCACAGGGGGGGGAGTGCAGGTCAGGTCAGGTCAGGCCTGCATGCCCGCGCAGGGCGGCCACGGAGGGCGCAGGCGGAAGACGCTTGTTAGTGCAGCTGGGCCCGGGCACAAAGAGCTGAGCACTCGCGAAGTCACAGAGATCTTCAACGAAGGATTGCAAAAAAACCGAAGGATTGCAAAGGATTGCAAAAAAAACGAAGGATTGCAAACAAAAAAACCCTTCGTCCATGCGTCCATGCGCGCCCAGGCGCGTGCACCTGAGGCGCAGAGGGGGGGGGGATGTATCGACCCCCAGTCGCCCACGGATCGCCGACAGGGGCCCGTTGGCCCCAACCTGCCCGGGAGCGTGCGGATCCACTGTCGGGGGGGCCCATCGCCGCTCTGTGGGCGATGCATCGCCGATCCCAGGTGGTTGTTCCCCCCCCCCCCCCCCTATCGTTAAGTCGGGCCTGTCCCCCTACAGGGGGAATGTTCAAAAATAGTCAAAAGATAGTCTGGGGACTATTTTTTGAGTATTTTTTGGGCATCTTTTGAATATTTTTTGAGTATTTTTCATTTCTCATCCAAAATCTCCCTGTATGGGGGACAGACCCGACCTAACCCTATCGCTGTTCCCCCCCCCTGTCGTTGCCCCCCCTCGCTGCGGCCAGGGATCGCCTCTCCGCGGAGCTCGTCTCCTCGCTGCTCCTGCCCGGCCCCGCGGGCGGGGCGGCCCCTCCAGGGCTCGCTTCGATTCCTCCGATTCCATTCGATTCGATTTCGATGGCTTCCGCTTCCGATTCGATCGTTTAGCTTGCAGTTAGACAAAGACGCGGGATGTTTTGACGCAGTTGAGGATTATCAGACGGTTGTCTTCCGATTCGGTTCGGCTGCGAGTGCCGATCTGGGCTCCGATTCCCGACTGGAGGCGTGCTGGCCTGCCGAATCCTGTGGATTCGTCTTCTCCCGACTCGGCTTTCGATTCGGCTGCGAATGCCGACCTGGGCCCCGGCTCCTGACTGGAGGCGTACTGGCCTGCCGATTCCCTTCGACTCGACTGCTCCCGACTCGGCTGCCGATTACCGCAGGTCCGATTCATGTCGATCGCCGATCCGACCTGTCAATTCGATTCTGGGCACTCCTGCCCCTCCTCTCGTTGCGCCAGGGGATGGCGAGGGACATCCTCGGAGGATCGAGGGGGCGTCTTCGGACGTCTGCCGTCGCTTCCTGGAGGCCCTCTCGCCTCGGGCTCCCCCCTCTCGTTGCGAAGGGATCACGATGGACATCCGGGGGGGGCTCGGGGCGTTTTCGGACGGTTGTCGTCGCTTCTGGGAGGCCCTCTCGCCTCGGGATGCCTCCCACCAGCTGCGCTTCGCCGAGGGCCTTCCAAGGGGGTGCCGGGATCGCCCCAAACGGCCGCCTGAGGCCCAAGCGTCGGCTCGAAAACCGCGATCCTCTTGTCGTGGCATAAAATGACGACGGACGGTTTTGGGCAATCTTCGGCTCCCTGAGGACCTCACCAGTCCTCGCGACCGTTGAACAATGGCTCGGGATGAAAAGCCGGTCGCGGGGCTGACGACGCCGCCGCCGACGCCGCCGCCGCCGCTGCCGCCGCCGCTGCCGACGACGACGACGACGACGCCGACGACGACGACGACGAGGCGCGGCCGCGCGTTGTCGGCGGCGGCGGCGGCGGCGGCCGCTGGGGGCGGCGGCGGCGGTGGCGGCGGCCGCTGGGGGCATCCAGGCGCGGCCGCGCACTTGGGCGGCTCTGCCGCGCGCGCGGCCGAGGACCGCCCGCGCCGCCGCCGAGCCCCCCCCCGCGCCGCGGCGTCGGCCCGTGCGCGCGCTGCTCGCCGCCTGCCGCCGCGGCCCGTCGCAGGTCGCCTGTCGCCTGTCGCCAGATTTAGGTCGGGCCTGTCCCCCTACAGGGGGATTTTTGGGCGAAAAACGCATAATCAAAGCATATTCCAAAAATGCTCCAGAAAAAATCAAAAATCGTCCCCATATTATTTTTTGGACTACTTTTGAATTTCCCCCTGTAGAGGCACACGCCCGACTCAACGCCAGATGCGGGGAGAGGGCAGAGACCCCTTGCGAAGAGAGGGCGGAGACCCCCCGAAGCAGCCCCCGAATCCTCTGGAATTGCCGCGGGACTGGTGGGCGTCTGGAAAGCGTCCGAGGGGCGCCCAAGCGCCATGGGCCAGGAAGATCTTAACGACAGGTCGCCTGTCGGTCACCCGTCGCCTGTCGCCAGATGCCTGTCGGCGAGCTCGGGGCGCTGCGACTCCGTCACGCTGGCCGCTCTCGCCCGGGTTCGGGCCCCTGGAGCCCTCACGGCTGATGTTGTTGTTGCTGTTGCTGCTGCTGCTGCTGCTGCTGCTGTTGCTGTTGCTGTTGCTGTTGTTGTTTTTGCTGCTGTTGTTGCTTCTGCTGCTGTTACTGTTCTGTTGCTGTCACTCTTGTAGTTGTTGTTGCTATCGTTGAAGTTGTTGTTATTGTTGTCGTTGCTGGTGTTGCTGTTGTTATTGCTGCTGTTTTCGTTGTTTTTGTTTTTGCTGTTGCTGTTGCTGTTGCAGTTGCTGTTGTAGTTGTTATTGTTGCTGTTGTTGTTATAGTTGTTGTTGTTGTTTCTGTTGCTGCTGCTGCTGTTGCTGTTGCTGTTGCAGTTGTTTGTGTTTTTGTTGCTGTTGCTGTTGTTGTTGTTGTTGTTGTTGTTGTTGTTGTTGTTGTTGTTGTTGTTGTCGTGGTTGTTGTTGTTGCTGTAGCTGTTATTGTTGCTGTTGCTGCCGCTGCTGCTGCTGTTGCTTATGTTGCTGCTGTTGTTGTTGCTGTTGCTGCTGTTGCTGCTGTTGCTGTTGCTGTTGCTGTTGTCGTTGTTGATGCTGTTGTTGATGTTGTTGTGTTTGTTGTTGGTTGTTCGTTGTTTGTTGTTTGTGGTTCATTGGGTGTTGTTTGATGTTTGCTCTTTGTTGTTTGTTGTTGTTGCTGCTGCTGCTGTTGTTGTCGTTGTTGTCGTTGTTGTTGTTGTTGTTGTTGTTGTTGTTGTTGTTGTTGTTGTTGATTGTATTTTTGTTTTTGGTTTTGTTGTTGTTGGTGTTGAACTTTCATTTCTGAAGAATATTCATTGTTGACACCCCCCGTCCGGTGTACATTTTTTTTCGATTGAAGCGCCCTTCCCGGGGCTCGCACCCTGTTGTTTGACAGGGAAGATTTTGATGGTCAAACTGTGTCGTTGGCCCCCGGTTTACAACAACAACGGCTCCCGCTTGATATTTCCTCACCATTTATTGAAGAATCGCGCTCTCGCTTTGGACTTCCTTGCAATTTACCACCAGATCGCGGCTCCCGCTTGATACTTCCTCACAATTGACTGAAGAATCGCGCTCTCGCTGGGGACTTCCTCGCAGCTTACCACCGAATCGCGGCTCCCGCCTGATACTTCCTGACAATTTATTCAGATGCCGCTCCTCGACATTCAGGAATCGCGCTCCCGCTACATACTGCCTGGCGGTTCAAGCATAATTTACGCTTCAACGACCCGCCCGCTCGACCCGTCCGTCTGGGCCTGCCCGCCCGACCAGCCTGTTAGGGACTGCAGTCGCCGCTCGCTGCCCTTCGCCCGCCTTCGATGCCCCTCGCTGCCCGTACTGGTTCCGCGGTCGCCTTCGCTCGCTGCCCTTCGTGGCCCCGTTGCTGCCCTCAGTGGCCCCGCCGCTGCCCATTGTGGCCCCGCATTATATGCCCTTCGTGGCCCCCGCTCGCAGTCGCCCGTCGTGGCCCCATACGCATGCCCTTCGTAGCCCCGCTGTCGCCCTTCGTGGCCCTCTCGCTGCCCTTCGTGGCCCCTTTGCTGCCCTCAGTGGCCCCGCTGTCGCCCTTTTGTGGCCCCATATACGAATGCCCTTCGTGGCCCCCGCTCGTTCGCGCCCGTCGTGGCCTCATATACATGCCCTTCGTGGCCCCGCTGTCGCCCTTCGTGGCCCCCTCTTCGCCCTTCGTGGCCCCGTTTCTGCTCAAGGGCTTCACCAACCACACGTGGCAGGGAATGAGTATACCCCCAAAAAGGGGGTACGATCAAAGACGAAGAGGGCGGGTATCCAGGGTTTGGGATATGCATATTGAATGACACGCGAACAGATAAGAGCGAACAGTCTTAAGATGACTGTTGTTGTTGTGGTTGTGTTGTTGTGGTTGTTGTTGTTGCTGTTGCTGTTGTTGTGGTTGTTGTTGTGGTTGTGTTGTTGTTGCTGTTGTTGTTGCTGTTGCTGGTGTTGTGGTTGTTGTTGTTGTTGTTGTTGTTGTTGTTGTTGTTGTTGTTGTTGTTGTTGTTGACTTCTCATTTCTTCATTTCTGAAGAATAATTATTGTTGATCCCCCCCCACCGGTGCATACTGTATTTTCTCAATCAAAGTGTGTTCCTCGACGCTCGCACCCTGTTTTTTGACAGGGAAAGTCTTCCTGCTCAAACTGGCCCCCTGGCCCCCGGGTTACAACAACAACGGCTCCCGCTTGAGACTTCCTTACAATTTAGCCAGGACCCCCGCTCCCGCCCGAGACTTCCTCGCATCTTATTCAGGAATCGCGCTCTCGCTTGGGACTTCCTTACAGTTTATTCAGGAATCGCTCTCCCGGCGCCCTGGAGTCGCGCTCTTGCTGGAGACTTGTTTGCAGCTTACTGAAGAATGGCCTTGCGTGGGAATGTCTTGCATTTTGCCTAAGCGCCGCGCTCCCGATACCCAGGCACCCAGGAGTCGCGCCCGTTGTGGCCCCATGTGCATGCCCTTCGTGGCCCCGCTGTCGCCATTTGTGTCCCCCTCACTGTCCTACGTGGCCCAGTTGCTACCCTCAGTGGCCCCATAGTTGCTTTCTGTGGCCCCGCATTCTCTGCACTTCGTGGCCCCCGCTCGTTCGCGCTCTTCGTGGCCCCATACGCATTCCCTTCGAGTCCCCGCTGTCGCCCTTCGTGGCCTACTTCGAGCCCTTAGTGGCCCTGCTGTCGTTCTCTCTCGCTCTCGCTTTCGCTCGTCGTCGCCGTCGTCGTCGTCGTCGCCGTCGTCTTCGACGTCGTCGTCGTCGTCGTCGTCGTCGTCGTGGTCGGTGCCCTGTCCGTCCCTCTTGGGGTCGCGTCGACGGTCCGCGGCCGCCCCGCCGATCAGCGCTGCCGCTGGCCAGGCCGACGGTCCGCGGCCGCCCCGCCGCTTGCCGGGGCCCGGCCTGCAGGGAAGAAAGGTATACCCCCCAAAAGAGGCTCGATCGAAGACGAAGAGGGCGGGTATCGAGGGTTTGGGAAATACGCGTAATTGGACACTCGAGCATACAAGGGCGAACGGTCTTGAAATTGTTGTTGTTGTTGTTGTTGCTGTTGTGGTTGTTGTTGTTGTTGTTGTTGTTGTTGTTGTTGTTATCGTTGTTATTGTTGTTGCTGCTGCTGTTGTTGTTGTAGTTGGTGTAGTTGTTGTTGCTGCTGCTGCTGTTATTCTTGTTGATGTTGTTGTTGTTATTGTTGTTGTAGTTGTTTTTGTTGTTGTTTTTGTTGTTGTTGTTATTGTTGCTGTTGTTGTTGCTGTTGTTGTTGCTGCTGTTGCTGTTGCTGTTGCTGTTGTTATTGTTGTTGCTGTTGCTGTTGTTGTTGTTTGTTGTTGTTTTTTGTTGTTGTTGTTGTTGTCGTTGTTGTTGTCGTTGTTGTTGTTGTTGTTGTTGTTGTTGTTGTTGTTGTTGTTGTTGTTGTTGTTGTTGTTGTTGTTTTGTGTTGTTGTTTTTTTTTCGGTCGTTGTTGTTGTGGTTGTTGTTGTTGTTGAACATTATTAATTCTAAAGAATAATTATTGTTGGGACCCCTGGTGCACGGCCCCCCTGCGCCGCCTAGGCCGCAGCTACATTTTCATCATTTTCGTGAGGAAGCCTCAGGTAATTCGATGTGATCAAGATCCGGTTGTTTTGTTCCCCCCCGCTTTCCCTTGCAAAAAACACTATAAAATGACATTTCTTGTTCTAATATAATCAAATTTCAAGAATCCTTTGCAAAAAATAAGGTAAAGTGGACATTCGCGCGCGCAAGACGAAATCCTTCCAAAAGCTTAGTGTTCGGAACGATTTCAACATAAAAACATCAAAAAACTAATGGTTTTTTTCAACAAAAAATGTCAAAATCTCATCCCGCGCGCTCTTGCGGATTCGTAGGAAACCCAACACTTTTTAAACATTTCTGTCAAACGGGCTTTTTCGAGCAACTTTTTCGAACTTCTGCGACAACGGTTGCGCACCTGCCAGGGCCATCATCCCTGTCAAATAATACCATGCGGGACACATTCGTTTTTTCTTCGCGCGCGCACGCCGAAATCTCCAAAAACCATTGGGTTCTGTGGGTGTGTACCCCACGCCAGTGTAGTAGCCACGGTCGTCCACACGCCACGAAGTGAAGTGTCCCAACGTCATAGGGCGGGAAGCTGGGTTTGGGTGGTCGCGAAGAGTCGTTTGGATATTTGGTAGAGCTTGTAATGCCCCCCCACGAAGTGGGGGTATTGCCTGGTGTCGTATGAAAACCCTGGCACTGGGGAGACACCACGCGTTCGGGTAAAATGATTGTTGTTGTTGTTGTTGTTGTTGTTGTTGTTGTTGTTGTTGTTGTTGTTTGTTGTTTGATGTGGTTGTTGTTGTTGTTGTTGTTGTTGTTGTTGTTGTTGTTGTTGTTGTTGTTGTTGTTGTTGTTGTTGTTGTTGTTGTTGTTGTTGTTGTTGTTGTTTCGTGGCGGGGCGTCGAATCCGTCCTGCTTCTCGTCCTTTCTGGCCC